ACTCTTTCCAATGTTTGTGGGTGGAGGGGATCAAGCATACTTCTGTGCTCACTGTGAAAGACAAAACCAGTCCAAGACTATTATTGGCAGTTATCTGCTGGCCTGGTGCAGTGTTTTTGACCTGGGAGAACTCAAAAGACAGGACCAAAAAGAAATGCAAGAAACACACAAACTAAGATCCGTGGATGTATGGACCAGGTATGACTCGACTGCCAGAACTGAAGTTCACCCACACTTTCTCCAACACACTGCTCTCTACCATGCTGATCTGTCACCTCTCCCTGACCAAGAAAAATCTTTCTCCCTTTTACTTACTCTTTCAAGATATACCATACCTCTTCTGTAGGTCTCTGTAAAACATGCATAAGGTTTAGTGGTGTGGGCCAGTGGGGCTGTGGCTGCAGAGTCAGAGCTGGGGACAGGAAACCCTCACACCACCTGGTGGAGTAGGAAAAACATTTTCAAGTACCTGCCACGGGCAAAGCAGTCTCAGCTTGGAGAATTTTAAGCAATTTAATTTCCTGCCAATCAACACAAATTTGTGGTCACTGAGCTTGGTGTATTCAAGGAGAGTGAGGGCCCTAGTGTGTGATCTGGCCAGGCTGATTTCTACATCAATCTGTGGGTCGCCTTAGCCCCGCACATCTGTGTAACTGCTGGGTTGTGCAGGGAACTGTTTGGGGGCAGAGGGTTTATAGGTGACTTGTCCTTGCTATCCTTGCCCTTGGATGCAGACCATACCCCATCCTTCTGGGGACAGGTGGGAGGATGAGAAGAAGGTCTGGGGCTGTTGTAAAAGCTGTTTCCATCCCCATTCCTGCATCTTTTGGGGCTATCTTCTGACTGAGCTTCTTTTCCCAGCAAAGGGCTATCCAGAGCATGAGGAACTCCCTTCTGCACAAGCTTGTGAGCTGCTGACCTCTCAGAACCTCCAGCAGCACCAGGCTCCTCGCTGGGGGATAGCAGTACTTGGGCTCCCCGTCTGCAGGATGTGCTCTAAGGCCATGGGGCCATATCTGAACGAAGATCATAGAATCATAAAGTCGTAGAATCATAGAATAGTTTGGGTTGGAAGGGACCTTTAAAGGTCACCTAGTCCAACCCCCCTGCAATAAGCAGGAAGTTCTTCAACTAGATCAGGTTGCTCAGAGCCCCGACCAACCTGACCTTGAATATTTCCAGGGATGGGGCATCTACCATGTCTCTGGGCAACCTGTTCCAGTGTTTCACCACCCTCATTGTAAAAAATTTCTTTCTTATATCTAGTCTAAATCTACCCTCTTTTAGTTTAAAACCATTCCCCCTTGTCCTATTGCAACAGGCCCTGCTAAAAAGTTTGTCCCCATCTTTCTTATAAGCCCCCTTTAAGTACTGATAGGCCACAATAAGGTCTCCCTGAAGCCTTCTCTTCTCCAGGCTGAACAACCCCAACTCTCTCAGCCTTTCTTTATAGGACAGGTGTTCCATCCCTCTGATAATTTTCGTGGCCCTGCTCTGGACCCGCTTCAACAGGTCCATGTCTTTCCTGTGCTGAGGGTTCCAGAGCTGGACGCAGTACTGCAGGTGGGGTCTCGCCAGAGTAGAGTAGAGGGGCAGAATCACCTCCCTCGACCTGCTGTCCATGTTCTTTTTGATGCAGCCCAGGATATGGTTGGCCTTCTGGGCTGTGAGCAAATATTGTCAGCTCACGTCCAGCTTTTCATCCACCAGTACCCCCAAATCTTTCTCGGCAGGGCTGCTTTCAATCCCTTCATCCCCCAGCCTGTATTGATACCAGGGGTTGCCCCGACCCAGGTGCAGGACCATGTACTTGACCGTGTTAAACCTCATGAGATTCACATGGACCCACTTTTTGAGCTTGTCCAGGTCCCTCTGGATGGCATCCCATCCCTCAGACGTGTCAATTGTACCACTCAGCTTGGTGTCATCTGCAAACTTGCTGAGGATGCACTCGATCCCACTGTCTATGTCACTGATGAAGATATTAAACTGTACTGGTCCCAATATGGACCCCTGCGGGACACCACTTGTCACTGATCTCCATCTGGACGTTGAGCTGTTGACAACTACCCTCTGGATGTGACAATCCAACCAATTCCTCATCCACCGAACAGTCCACGCATCAAATCCATATCTCTCCAATTTACAGAGAAGGATGTTGTGGAGGACCAGGTCAAAAGCCTGATGCAGGGCCTGATCGCCACTGGCTTATGAGGAGTTGAGTATGTCTTCCTTAGCTCCAAGAGACAGTGACTGGAAGGAACCCATTGTCCTGTGTCCCATCCTCCCATTCCTCTGGGAATAATGAAAGGTCTTGTGCCCCCACCTTACACCCCCACCACCCAAGACAATGCCTTTCTTCCTTGACAACTCGAGACGACACCAAAAAAGGATTACATGGAGGCAGAAGTTGAAATGCGGAATACTGTAATGACTGTGAAGAGGGAAACGAGATCACTTCCAGAGGAGAAGGCCAGAGCAGGGAGAGCACTAGCAGCTGTCAAAAGTCTGCACCCATTGCCCACAGACCATCCATCTGCCTGCTACATGGAGGAAGAGAGGTCAGCAGATCCCCCAGTTTGGCTCTGGGGGTTTTATAGCCCAGAAGACAAGAAAGAGATGGCAGAGAGTGGAAGGCAAGGAAGTTAGACTTTGGCCACGTTTTCCGAAAGCCCCAGCTGCCCTCCTTTGGAAGGGCAGCACTGGAATCTCAGCCTCTCTGAAATCGATGGCCAGGAGCTCTGTCCTCAGTCCAGAATCTAGGTCTGGATTCCTGGGGGTCCTTGTCCGGACTGTCACCAGTGGCTTTA